TTTTTTTTTTTTGAGACATTTTCATTTTAACAGAAGCTCCTTAGGGTCCCAAAAGCTATTAAGACCTGGTGAAATGAGGCTATGGCTCGGATTTTAGATGCTGCCAATTGCAGAGGCAGAGAAGGGGTGGAGGGAGACATGGGAGGGCTTTCAAGTTCCTTAGAGTTTCCCCGGGGTGAGAGGCTGTGTGTCCTCATGGCCAGCCCTGCTTCAGTAGGTGACATCTCCTGGCATCCCAAGTAGGTGACACAGTCTCAAACCACATTGGATCGGCACTGACAGTACTATTTTTTTTTTCTGTAAATCCACATGCCTCAGGGCTCATGCATGTGTGTGTGTGTGTGTGTGTGTGTGTGTGTGTGTGTTCATGCACACACATCACAGATCTGCAGGTGACTGGGTTGAGAGAGGGGGCAGCCATAGACATCAAACTCCAAAGTGCCTACAGAGCTCCAAAAAGGCAGGTCTTCACGACATCCTTCTCTTCAACTAGAGCCGATGTGCTCAGGAGTGCAGGCACCATCATAGAAAACTGCGCCGAAAATAAGAGTGAACAGAGGTATAAAATCACTGAGCTTGGAGGGAACTTGGAGCCCACTTAGTCCATTGTTCTCAAAGTACAGTCCAGGATTGGCACCACCTGGAGCTTGTTAGACAAGCAGAGTCTCAGCTACCAAAGGAACGTGATGAATCAGAATTTGTATTTAACAAGATCCCTGGTGTATATATACATACTACAACTTCCTTATCCATTCATCCGTTGACGGACTCTTGGGTTGTTTCCATGTCTTGGCTACTGTGAATAATGCTGCAATAAACACTGGGGTGCAGATATCTCTTCAACGTCCTGTTTTCATTTCCTTTGCATATATATCCAGAAGTGGAATTGCTGGATCATACAGCAGTTCTATTTTTAATCTTTTGAGGGACTTCCATACTCTTTCCCTAGTGGCTGTACCAATTTACATTCCCACCAACAGTCTACAAGCATTCCCTTATCTCCACATCTGGAATTTGTATATCTATATGCAATGGACTATTATTCAGCCATGAAAAAGGAGGGAATCCTGTCATTTGCAACGACATGGCCCTTGAGGGCATTATGCTAACCAAAAAAAAAGATAAATATTGTATGATATCATTTATATGTGGAATCTAAAAGAGCTGAGCTCGTAAAAATGAGAGTAGAATGGTGATTACTGGGAGCCTGGGGCAGGGGGGAACTGGGGAGATGATATTTAAGGGTCCAAACTTGGAACTAGTAGATAAATAAGTCCTGTAGGGCTAATGCACAGCATCGTGATTACAGACAACAATACTGTATCATAAACTTCAAAGTTGCTAAGAAACTAGATCTTACTTATTCCCACCACAAAAAAGAAATGATAATTGTGTGCTGTGATAGAGGTGTCAGCTAACGCTACAGTGGTGATCGTACTACAATATATAAATACATCAAGTCAACACGTTGTACAGCTTAAACTTACCTGTCAATTATATGTCAATGAAAATAAATTTTAAAATAAAATAAATAAATGAGATCCCTGGGATCCGAGGAACACTGTCCTAGTCCAACACCTTCATCTGCATTTGGAGGCAAAGTGAGGATCAGAGAGGGGCATGGTTTACCCCGTGTCACACAGCACATCAGGAGCAGAGCCTAGACAGGGACCCAGGCTTCCTTGCTGCCAGTGCGTCACATGTTCTGGCTCTGTGTTTCGACACACCCTGCTTCCTTCTCTTGGACGCTCTCGGCTCTCTCCTCTGCAAAACCACGTGTGACCTACAAGACCCAAGAGGATCTCGCCTCCCCATGGAAGATGGCCCCCAGAGACATCCTTGGTGGCAGCGTGAGGGTTGCTCTGTACTTTTAGTTCTGTCTCACAGGCTACTGTTCCCGCACAAGACCTGTTCAGACTTTGGAAAAGAATTCAGAGCTCTCCACGAGAGGGAGGCATTTGCTACAAAAGGTCAATAACAGAAGAAATACTCAGTGTACCAACTGTGTCCATCAGGGTCTAGGCAGGAAATCAGAATCCAGCTCAGATGGTTCTCGGGATTCGAATGAAGGGGCTATTTACAGAGCCGGGGGACAGGCTTAAGGAAACCTGTGAAGGATGGGAGGCCCCCAGGAACTAGCCTCCCTAGGCTTGAAGCAGCAAAGAAAGCAGTAGGGGAGTCCCAGCCTGGGGGGGAGATGGGGAGGCTGGAGCCGAGGGTGAGAGGAGTGTCAAGAGTGATGCAACCATGGCCAGACTTAAAACCCAAAGCAAGGAGGAAGCAGGGAGAAGGGCCTGACCCTGCTCTCTTCCTAACCTCCGACCTCCTGCCGTGCTGGCCTTTGGCTGAGCCCAACTACAGATGAGAAAACTGAGGCAGCGTGCCCAAGGTCACCCAGTGGGTGAGCCAGGATTCAAAGCCAGGCCACCTGGTCCCAGCATCCATGCCCTTAACCTTTCACTTTTCCCATTTACGTTCATTCACTCAATTATCTACTATGTGCTGCTCAGTATTCCAGGCACTGTGGTTTCCAAATTCTTTTCGAGGCTTTTGTAATCAGAACACACTGAACACCGTTCCTGTTAAAAGGGAGAGCGTTTTCTCTGCTGTAGGACTTGATGGTGGCTTTGGCTTTCGTGGAGGTGGATGGACAGACTGGTAGGAGAAAAGTCCAGGGGTTCTGACAGTGTTGGATTCATGCTGCTCCCAGGGGCCTCTGCTGGGTCCTGGGTCACCAGCAGGGACCTTGACCTGGGGGTGGGCACCTGTGGTGGTGGAGGCTGGGCCTGGGCCCATGGGGCACTCTGGCCAGCCGGGGAGTTCTAAGGTCCAAAGTTCACTGCTATGGCAACTCCCGCCCCTGCAAACAGCCCCCAGCCTGGACATTCTCAGACCTCTGCCAGAGGAAGAGTGATATCTGTGTCCCCATGAGGTCCTCACTCTCTAGAATGTCCTCCCTCGTCTCCAAGCTGGAAGGGCCCATGGGAGTCACCTGCTCTGTCCCCCTCATTTTACAGAGGGAAACTTGGGCACAGGAGGAGACAAGGTTTGCTGAGGGCCCCATGGCCAGGCAGAAGCCAGATCGGAACCTTGGTTTCCCGGCTCCCAGCCCAGCGCCCCTCCCTACCTCCGCAGGCAGAGTCCAGGGAGCAGATGCCCCCAGGCACACTGCTGCCAGGCTTTTGTCCTTGTTCTTTGCTGGCCTGGAATGGCTCTTCCAAAGGCCACATCGTCCTCATCCTTAGGGTCCCAGCTCAGCATGTCACCTCAGAGAAGCCTTCTCTGACCATCGCTTTGGAATGGCATCCCACTGATCCGGGTTCAAACCCCTGCTGGGTGACTATGGCTTAATCACTTCACTCCTCTGAGCCTGTTTTTTCAGCTCAAAACAAGACTTCAATACTCACCATAATGGGCTGCTGCAGGGCCGAGAGGGGGTGTGTGGCATAACCAGCATGGTGGCCCGCACATAGTAGGCGCTCAATAAATGCTGCTTTCCTGCCAGTTCCCACCCGAAGCTGGAAGGATCATAGGATTCACAAGGCTCAGCCCTGCCCTCAGCAGCACTCAGGCCTCTTGCAGGGGGATTGGGGGGTGGGACACAGGAGCCCAAAAACCTCAGCCTGATGGACAGAAACAATAGGACACAGAGGAGCAGAGAGGCCCCAGTGTGGGCTTCCCTGTGCTCAGCGTGGGAAGTTCTGATCCCAACCCCAAATCCAGTGCCTTTTATGACCCACTGGGAAGAAACCCTGTCACTCCTGCCACAGTCAGTGTATTGAGGCAGTCCAAAGACCCACCCAATTTCAAGATGAAGACACAGAGACCCCACCTTTTGATGGAAAGAGCATCAAAGACTTTGTGGACATATTTTTAAAGTACCACAATTACAGAAAAGCAGAGTGGTTAATGCTATGATGGAGAAAGCGCAAAGGTTTCTGGGATCTCAGAGGAGGACCTTCCTCTCATCCAGGGAAATATTGAGGTGATCGGGGAAGGCTTCCTGGAGGTGGGGGCAAAACAAAACTCACGTATATAGGGAGTCCTTGGGAGGGGAGAGATCCCTACAAATTAAGCACAATCCCTACTATAAATTTTGTTTCCCAAAATAAAATTTTATTTTCTCTACTTACTGCAAATACAATATATCCCAAGAAAATAAAAATTGAAATACCAGCAAACAAAAAGATTTTCAAAACACCCATAATCCTGCCCATCCAACCAGAAACAATCCCTCGTAACTCCTTGCTAAGAATTTTCCAGATTGGCAAACGTGAGAATAGAACAAAGAAATAGAACCTCACCCTATGATGCCATTGGCAGTGGGCGCCTCATAAGCATCTTTCTGAAGTATCAAGAAATACGTTTATTTCTGCAGCCTCGCTTTAAATGTATGAGAGTTGGTATACCCAGTGCGCTTTTGTTGAACGCCTTAGGGTCCCACTCTGACCTTGCCGATGTCACACGGAGCAGCAAAGGGCATCTTACTGCTGTGACATATTTCCACACTGACTTAACTATGTACTTAGAGTCAAGTTCCAGCAGTAGAATTACTGGGTCACTGGGCATGCAGGTGTTTAAGGATTTGCCAAGTTGCCTTCCAGAAGATTTTACCACTAGCAAGGCTTGAGAAGCCTGTTTTCCCATAGGGGATGGGAAGCAAGGGTGTGGGGCGGAGATTTCTTTTTCACATAAACAGGTGAGTATATAACTCAGCTGGCTTGGACTCCCAGCTCTGCCACCTGCCGGGTGTGTGAGCTTGAGCCGGTGACCTGGCCCCTCTGAGCCTCTATAAAACTGGGCCTTCCTGGAAATGAACGTGGGGTCTTTTTGTGGGAAGAGGGGACAAACAGTGTCACCTGGGCCCAGGCCAACCCATCCTCTCACTCGGGGCGGCGACAACAGGCTTTTAAGTATGACCCATGACCCCAACAGTGTCGCAAGCAGGTTCCAGTCACTAGGCCTCCCCTTCCTGATTCCAGGAACCCGCCCCACTCAGGAGCTGCCCCAGGGCTCTGGCCTCAGTTACTTAAGAGAGCTGAGCCCAGCCTGAGGCTGCGACAGACCTGGCCCAGCCCTCTGGGAGCCCAGGATGGGGACCTCGGCTGGGGCCCTGTCCTCCCTCCTGCTGGGAATACTGCTCACATCCACCCCTGGGGCCCTGGGTGCCAACCCTGGCCTGGTCGCCAGGATCACCGACAAGGGCTTGGAGTATGGTAAGGAGCTGTGGTTGTTGGCTGGACTTGGCTGACCCGCTTGGCCCCAGGCGGTGCTGGGTACGGCAGGGGACACAGAGGGGACTCTCTCCCTTGGGGTGGTGCAGCCTTCCCGGCCAGGCAAACCTGGCTCGGGTTCTGGCCTCATCGCCCAACCCCTGGGCCACTTGGGCACGTTACTTGTCTTAGCTGGGTTCCCCACTAGCCAACAGAGATAAATATTTGGGTGCGCGTAGTTGATTTGGGAGATGATTCCGGGAAACACTGTAAGAGAGTAGTGATGTGAGATGAGAAAGGCAAGGTGGCCAGGAGAGGCGTATCCTTAAACCAGCTACCGCCTCAGTGATGGGAACAGTTCCGCTGGAAAATTTTTGCTCGAGTTTGAAAACATATGCCTTAAAACTAGATGTCAGGGACTTCCCTGGCGGTCCAGTGGTTAAGACTCTGCACTTCCAGTGCAGGGAGCACAGGTTCGATCCCTGGTCGGGGAACTAAGATCCCACATGCTGTGCAGCACAGCCAAAAAATAAACAAACAAAAAATATATATATATTTTTAAAAAAAACAAAACTAGGGACTTCCCTGGGGGAGCAGTGGTTAAGAATCCGCCTGCCAATGCAGGGACACGGGTTCGAGCCCTGGTCCAGGAAGATCCCACATGCTGCGGAGCAACTAAGCCTGTGTGCCACAACTACTGAGCCTGCGCTCCAGAGCCGGCGAGCCACAACTACTGAGCCCACACGCCACAACTACTGAAGCCCGCATGCCTAGAGCCCGTGTTCCGCAGCAAGAGAAGCCACTGCAATGAGAAGCCCGCTTACTGAAACGAAGAGTAGCCCCCGCTCGCGGCAACTAGAGAAAGCCCAAGTGCATCAACGAAGACCCAACGCAGCCAATAAATAAATAAATTTTAAAAATTGATGTCAGAATGGTGGTTACCACCCGGAAGGGGCACAGGGAGCCTACAGGGGTGCCGGGAATGCCCTGCATCTTGCTCTGGGCGGTGGCTACATGGGTGCATAAACATGTAAAAATTACCTGGCAATACCTTTAAGATTAGTGCCCTTTAGGTTACACCTCTACGGATGTTATACCTCAGTTTTAAAGAATTGGAATATAGTTGATTTACAATATTGTGTTAGTTTCAGGTATACAGCAAACTGATTCAGGCTTTTTTTTTTTTTTGCAGATTATATTCCATTATAGGTCATTACAAGATACTGAATAGAGTTCCCTGTGCTCTACAGTAAATCCTTGTGTATCTATGTTATGTGCAGCAGTTTGTATCTGTTAGTCCCATACTCCTAATTTGTCCCTCCCCCACACATTTCATAACCATGCTGTTTTCTATGTCTGTGAGTTTGTTTCTGTTTTGTATATAGATTCATTTGTAGCATTTTTTTTAAAAGATGCTAAAACAGGGCTTCCCTGGTGGCGCAGTGGTTGAGAGTCCGCCTGCCGATGTAGGGGACGCGGGTTCGTGCCCCGGTCCAGGAGGATCCCACATGCCGCGGGGCGGCTGGGCCCGTGAGCCATGGCCGCTGGGCCTGCGCGTCTGGAGCCTGTGCTCCGCGGCGGGAGAGGCCACAGCAGTGAGAGGCCCGCGTACCGCAAAAAAAAAAAAAAAAAAGATGCTAAAACAAAGCCTCTGAAATAACCTGTCCAAGGGGCAAGGGATCTAGGGTATTTATATACCGCTCCCCTTAGCACTTGATGGAGGGCTGCTCCTCACTTTTATGGAGGCTCAATTGCCTTAGCTGTTCACTGGGGTAATAATATTCCCTCAGGTAGAGCTGTTGGGAGCCCAGATTGGCTGGGGACAGAGAGAGGGAAATCAAGGAAGGGTTCTTGGAGGAGGTGAGGTAGAAAAGATATGTTAACTACGGACAAGAGATAGCATTTTGGCAGAGAGACCGGCTCATGCATTTGCTGGAGGGAGGACTGCAAAGTGGTATGAGGCGGAGTCAGGGAGACCCCTGGTCATTTGTGTATACACACCCTCCCTGAGGGCAGAATCCTGGGTCTCTCATACCTCAGATAAACAGAAGGTCCTACCGAATGCTGTTTATATTGAAACGCTAGATCAGGCAAAATTTGCCTCTTGCTCCTTTCCACTGTGTAAATGTAACCAGTCCTCCAGAGTTGGACATTTTGGTCCTTACTATATATATATATATTTTTTTTTTTTGCGGTACGTGGGCCTCTCACTGTTGTGGCCTCTCCCGTTGCGGAGCACAGGCTCCAGACGCGCAGGCTCAGTGGCCATGGCTCACGGGCCCAGCCGCTCCGTGGCATGTGGGATCTTCCCGGACCGGGGCACGAACCCGCGTCCCCTGCATTGGCAGGCAGACTCTCAACTGCTGCGCCACCAGGGGAAGCCCCTTTCCATATTTTTAATGACATAAACCCTGCATTTACTGAGTACCTGATGTGTCAGGCACCAAGCAAGGGTGCTTTTTGAAATAAATTTAATTTAATTAATTAATTTTTTAACATCTTTACTGGAGTATAGTTGCTTTACATTGCTGTGTTAATTTCTGCTGTATAACAAAGTGAATCAGCTATACACATACATATATCCCCACATCCCCTCTCTCTTGTGTCTCCCTCCCTCCCAGCCTCCCTATCCCACCCCTCTAGGTCGTCACAAAGCACGGAGCTGATCTCCCTGTGCTATGAAGCAGCTTCCCACTAGCCATCCATTTTACATTTGGTAGTGTATATATGTCAGTGCTACTCTCGCACTTCGTCAGAGCTTCCCCTTCGCCCCCTGTGTCCTCAAGTCCGTTCTCTATGTCTGTGTCTTTATTCCTGCCCTGCAGCTGGGTTCATCTGCACCATTTGTTTAGATTCCACATATGTGTGTTATTTGTTTTTCTCTTTCTGACTTACTTCACTCTGTGTGACAGACTCTAGGTCCATCCACCTCACTACAAATAACTCAATTTCGTTTCTTTTTATGGCTGAGTAATATTTCAGAGTATATATGTGCCACATCTTTATCCATTCATCTGTCAATGGACATTTAGGTTGCTTCCATGTCCTGGCTATTGTAAATAGAGCTGCAATGAACATTGTGGTACATGACTCTTTTTGAATTATGGTTTTCTCAGGGTATATGCCCAGCAGTGGGATTGCTAGGTCATATGGTAGTTCTATTTTTAGTTTTTTAAGGAACCTCCATACTGTTCTCCATAGTGGCTGTATCAATTTACATTCCCACCAACAGTGCAGGAGTGTTCCCTTTTCTCCACACCCTCTCCAGCATTTATTGTTTGTAGATTTTTTGATGATGGCCATTCTGACCAGTGTGAGGTGATACCTCATTGTAATTTTGATTTGCATTTCTCTAATGATTAGTGATGTTGAGCATCCTTTCATGTGTTTGTTGAAAATCTGTATATCTGCTTTGGAGAACTGTCTGTTTAGGTCTTCTGCCCATTTTTGGACTGGTTTGTTTGTTTTTTTGATATTGAGCTGCATGAGATGCTTGTATATTTCAGAGATTAATCCTTTGTCCATTGCTTCATTTGCAAATATTTTCTCCCATTCTTAGGGTTGTCTTTTCATCTTGTTTATGGTTTCCTTTGCTGTGCAAAAGCTTTTAAGTTTCATTAGGTCCCATTTTTTTATTTTTGTTTTTATTTCCATTTCTCTAGGAGGTGGGTCAAAAAGGATAAGCAAGGGTGCTTTTTATCCTGTCAGCCCCTTTTTGCTTTGCAATGATCTCTTTTAACCCTCATGCCATCCCAATGAGGAAAGTATTATTATCATTGCTATTTGACCGACGGAGAACACCGAGGTTGAAAACTTGCTCAAGGTCACCCACCCAGAAAGGTGCCAACACCAGAATCCTAGCCCTAAAATCCTTACAGTCTATTCTACACAGGCTAGATGCCATGAAGGGCAGGAAAGAGGGCCACCCTCCAAGCACACAGCACTCCTCCCTCTCGGAGCTACTGACAAAGACATTGTGTCCTCATCCCTAACATGGGCATGAACATAACTACCCCACCAGAAATGCAGTGATGCTCCTGTGTGTTTCTCTTGCTACTTGGTGCTCTAGAGGGGCTCAATAACCTGCAACTGCAATTAATGCTAATCAGGAAGTAGACCTCTTTCCCCAGGGCAGGTGGGAGCCACTGAAGGGTTTAGAAGGAGGGAGGCAGGCTGACTAGGCTGACTCCCAGCTTTTTCCCATCCACAGTGGCCCAAGAGGAGCTGGTGACTCTGCAGAGTAAACTGCATGATGTCACGCTGCCCGACTTCAGTGGGGACGCCAAGATCAAATACCTCGGCAATGCGCACTATGAATTCCACAGGTGGGGCTCTGAGGTGACTGGGCAGGGGCCGGGGGGTCCGGAGAGGAAGGGAGGGAGAGCCCCAGGACTGGCTCGGGACATCTCTGGGGCAGACGGTGGGATGGTTCCTCGCAGAATTCAGAGGCAAGTTCTGGGAGGAACTTGGGCCCCTTCATTCATTCATACAACAAATATTAATGAAGACCCGCTAGCTGTGTGACCTGAGCTTCAGCTTCCTTATCTGTAAAATGGGGCTAACTTGCTGCCTCTTTGGAGTGATAATCCAGGCTCTGGCCTGGCCACTGGATGTAGCCTGGAAGGGAAGATAGACCTTAAACATTGTTTTAAATAAACCTTAAATTTTAGATGTAGTAGCCCTCTTAGCCCTGAGGTTGGCACATCTGGAGGAGCCAGCTAAAGTTTCCTGGACACGGTGGCATTTGAGCTGCGTCTTCAAAGGATGTTTAGACCTGAGCAGCGGATGCTTTTTAAAAAAAGGCATCAAACACTTTTTGAAGGATTGACAATGGAACGGGGGCAATTGAGCCCACAGCTCATCACGCACCTCTCTGCTCACCACTGATGGCTTCATTCAGTCCTTTTTTTATTCAGTCCATCAGTAAACATCTATTGGGCACCTACTGTGTACTGGGCAAAGAAGATGGAACTTGACCATTCTCTTCCCACTGATGGCTCCACAATCCACGTCATCTTGGTTTGCTTCTCTCAGCCCTTTTCTGTCTCTTCTTGAGGCTGCCTTCGGCCTCTTCTGAATCTGATTCCCCCACCTGGAGGTGTGGAGGAAAGTGATGATGGGGTGCATCTATGCACCCTACTCAGGATCCCAGCCAGGGGCGCATGAGCTCTGATCCTGACTGTGCAGCTTTGGGCAAATGCATCCCTTCTGAGAGGTTCTATGTCCCCCTCTGTAAAAAGGGAACCTGAACAGTGCTGAACCCCTCTGTGAGACAAACTGACATAATGCATGTAAAGTACTTGGCATGGCTGCCTGGTCAGCGCAGGGCACACAGCAAGTACGTGTGGGGAGCCAGAAGCCTGTCTGATGCAGGCTCAGCTGGTCTAGTCCCCGTAGGATGGGGGCGAGAGCAAGACCCCTGCTGAGGCTGGACCTGCCTCTGCCTCCAGGCTGATGCCGCTTCTGTGGGTCTCTCTCCAGCCTGAACATCCACAGCTGTGAGCTGCTCGGCTCTGCTCTGAAGCCCCTCCCCAGCCACGGTCTGCATTTCTCCATCTCCGACTCCTTCATCAGAGTCAAGGGCAAGTGGAAGGTGCGCAAGCGGATACTGTAAGTTGACTCTGCTTCCAGGCCCTCGGAACCTTGGCTTTGGCTTTCATTCCACCCTTCCTGGGTCCAAGGTGTTCCTAACTTCCCCCATAGCAGACCCCAAGGCAAGAATTCAAGTGCAAATACTTTATCTGGGGAGCAACCTAAGGAAACATAGAGGGTGTGTGCAGAAATGAGGTGGGGAAGAAGGAGGTCAGCTTGGCAGCTACTGGAGCTCAACCCTCCCAGGGACCCCTGGGGACAGTGTAGGCAGAGCACACCTCTGAGGTACCCCAACCTCCTGTTTGCCATTGGTCAAGGGTAGCTCTCAGGGGCAAGACCTCTCCAGCACTTTGAACTGTTCTCTGACCTCTGAGGTCCTTGGATGGAAGGTGGGTGAGTCTCCTTGGGCTGCCATAATGAAATGTCACAGACTAGGGGGTTCAATCAACAGAAATTTATTTTCTCACACTTCTGGAGGCTGCAAGTCCAAGATCAAGATGTGGGCAGGTTTAGTTTCTTCTGAGACTTCTTTCCTGGGCTTGCAGATAACTGCTCTGTTGCCATGTCTGCACGTGGTCATCCCTCCATGAGCCTGCACCCCTGGTGCTTCTCTGTGTGTCCAAATCTCCTCTTCTTAGAACGACAGATTGGACTCTAGCCCACCCTAATGGTCTGATTTTAACTGAATCACTGTCTCAAATACAGTCACATTCTGGTTACTGAGGGGCCTTCAACATTTGAATCTGGGGGGACACAGTTCAGCCCATAAGAGGAGGGCAACTATGGGTGACCTGGCCATATAGACACTGGAGACCTGCCCTGTCCTATACAGTAGCCTCTGGCCACATGTCCTTACTGAATACATGAAAAGTGGCTGGAACAAATGGGGATCTGTCGTAAGTGTGAAATACCATATTTGAAGATTCAGCACAAAAAAGAACATAAGAAATCTCATTAATAATTTTTACATTGATCACATGTTGAAATGATAATCATATACTATTAAAATGATTCTCACCTTTTTCCTTTTGCATTTTTTAATGTGGCTACTAGAAAATTTTAAATTACCCATGTAGTTCACATATTTCTGTTGGACAACACTGCTTTAGAAAGATGCTCAGTATATAGGTCACCTAATTTTGCATATTTATTCAATTTCCATGACAGGAATGAGGCCGTACTCTTCAAGATCTCTTATATGAGCATATGACTATCTACCTCATTCTTTTTTTTTTAACTTTTTTTTAATGTAACTTTTTTAAAGATTTTTTTTTTTTGATGTGGACCATTTTTATAGTCGTTATTGACTTTGTTACAATACTGCTTCTGTTTTATGTTTTGGTTTTTTGGCCACGAGGCATGTGGGATCTTAGCTCCCCGACCAGGGATCAAACCAGCACCCCCTGCATTGGAAGGGGAAGTCTTAACCACTGGACATCCAGGGAAGTCCCTGTAATATTTTTATTGAGGTGAAATTCACATAACATGAAATTAACCATTTTAAAGTATACAATTCAGTGGCATCTAGTACACTCACAGCGTTGTGCAACCACCACCTCTACCTAGTCCCACAATATTTCCATCACCCCAAAAGATGCTCCATACCTATTAAGCACTAACTCCCCATTTCCCCCTCCCCCAGTCCTGGGCCACCACCAACCCGCCTCTGTCTCTATGGATTTGCCAATCCGGGACATATAAATGAAATCGTATAGTATGTGACATTTTGTTTCTGACTTTTGTCATGTAGCACAATATTTTTGAGGTTTATCCACACTACAGCATGCATCAGTGCTTTATTCTTTTGTATGGATGGGTAATATGTCACTGTATAACTAGACCACATTTGGCTTCATTCTTTTTAAAGGCTGCAGAGCATAGATGCCCACAACTTATTGAACCTATCGCAACTAGTTGACATTTAAGGTTGTTTCCTCATTTCTTGCTATTACCCATGATGCTTCAGTGAGCTGCCCCACACATACATCTTGACTGGACGAGCCACAGAGTAAAGACTTAGAAGTAAAATTACTGGGCCAAAGATTTGTGGTTAAAATCAGGATAGATCCCACCAGCTTGTGTTCTAGATGTGCTTTCCCAACCGGTGTTTTGTTTTCCCATATCTTCACAAGCACTGGGTATGAAAACTTCTAAACTTTTTATCAACCTGTTAGGTGAAAACTGGCAGCATTGTTATTTTCATTTTTAATAACTTCTCATATGCTTATTTGCAATTGAACTTCCTGTTCATATCTTTGATCCCTTGTTTTCCCTCTTGTCCTTTCCTTATTTCTTTGTATAGGCTTGTTCTTTGTGTATTAAGGAAATTAACTCATATATTAGCTCACATGTCATGGAAATTAGCTCTTTGCCTGGATCAAGAAGCAATTTTTTTTTTTTTACTTTGCGTATGGAATTTTTTTGTTGCTGTTCACTAAAGTTTTAATTTTCAGTGCTGGCAAGTTTATCCACCATTTCCTTTAGGGCTGCTGAGACTTAGATCTAACCTAGAAAGGCTTTTGCCCATCCCTGACCATAAGTAAATGAACCCAAGCTTTCTTCTTGATCTTTTATGGTCTTATTTGTAATAAATCTTTGCTTTGTAATAAATATTTGTAATAATTTTTGTAATTAAATTTTTACTGCAGCTTCACTTATTTGGGGGTAAGAATTGAGATTTATATTTTCCCCCCAAATGGTGGCCGACCCTAGTCTAGGAATCAATTACTACTTCTCTTATCTCCTCTAGGAAACTAGACGGCTCCTTTGACGTGACGGTCAAGGGCATCACCATTTCAGTCAATCTTCTCTTGGGCAGCGAGCCCTCTGGGAGACCCAAGGTCGCCGTTTCTAGCTGCAGCAGCAACATCCGTGATGTGGAGGTGCACATGTCAGGAGATTTGGGGTAGGTCACCATCGGGACACTCACCAGCTTGACCCCTGGCTGCAGCCACAGGCCCATTCAGCCCAAGGCCTGGTCACCGATAAGCATGAGGGTCCAGGCGTAATGCATGGGTATATCACGTGCACTTGGAGGTAATTCTTTGGGGGACCTGCTGAAATTGACAGAAGCAGATTTAAGCTCGGAGTACTGGTGTGCCATTTCTACCAAAAGACAAACTTCACCACCAACAGGCAAGTGCAATCTGGCTACTGAAGAAACACGAAGGCTTTTAGCCAAAGGAGAGTTTGTGGAAAATATATAAACCCTTGAGCAAGTCTCTTCAAGTCTCAGTTTTCTAGATTAGAAAAACATGGATTCTCCAGCCCCTCCCCCAAATCTGACTTTGGGGCACAGCAGGGGGCTGGGATGCCAGATGCACTGAATCAGTGAGTGTGCTGGGAACTGGGACTCTGCATATTCATCCCATCCAGGATTCTGGGACACATCAGGGGACCAGAATGGGGTGGGGAGGGCTCCCTTGGTGACTGGCCTGGCTCTCCCTACTGCCCCACTGTCCCTGCATTCAGTGGCACACAGCTGATCATCCACTGTGCTTCTCTCCCCAGGTGGCTGCTGAATCTCTTCCACCATCAGATCGAGTCCAAGTTCCGAAGAGTATTGGAGAGCAAGGTAAGAATGTCCAAGTGGCTGGCGCTGCCGAGCCATTCAAGGGGCTGGGCCCAAGTCCTTAATGGGCTCTGGCCTTGAACAGCCCTAGGGGCTGGCCCAGGCACACTTGGGCTCAAGGCCCAGAGAGGACAAATCAAGGTCATGAAGCTGGTGTGCGGCAAAGCTGGGGGCAAAATGCAGGTCTCTGGACTCCGAGTCTATCCAGTTAGACAGAAAAGGGTTAGATGCTTGGCCAAGGGACCAAATGGAGACGCCTGCTTGGCTTTGCTCACTGCCCACCCCGGCCCTGCAGTCCACAAACGCAAAAAAGAAAATCAACACTTAGGTGGCTTCAGAGACCAAGCAGGAAACTTTGGGAGTGTGTGGACCAGGTGGGAGTTCTGGTTCCTACCTGGGCGATGAGCACCTGCTTTGTACGCGGAAGCAGCAACAGAGTGTCAGTTCTTCCCATTAAAAAAATTATGTGAAATCTCCAAATTTTGGAATCTCTGGCTCAAAGAAAGAGGTTTCATGTTAACTTTCAGTTCTTGCACTCACTTACTTCACCCCAAAATCCCATTTCTGGGGTATCATATACCTGGAGCTGTGTCTGTAGCAATGACTGTGCTTGGGAAGGAGAAAGTAACAGAGGAAAAAACAGGCGCACACACCGCTCTTGGTACAACATCTGGTTTGGCTTTGAGTGCCTCCTGGTGGTTGAAGAGAGAATAGCATGCAGACCCCACAGATCGGATGTAGCAAGCTGCCTTCTGTTCCCTGCCTTATCCTGGTGTCCTGGGGTCTAGGTGAGCTTGGGAAATATGCCAGCCTCCTTCTCAAGCACCCCATTGCCATGTTGCCATGCCTTTCTGAGTGGGACATAATATTCTTCAGTGGTTTGGATTTGTACTCCCCTACTGATGATGGAGATAATAATGATTAATAATAATAATATATAAAAATAGTACCATATTACAATTAATAATAATATAATAATTATCAGGGTAATAAGTTACCCTGATGATTATTATTTTGATAAATTAATATAATTAATGTTATACAGAATGGGTCACTCTATATAACTATTCTTATTTATAATAATAATGGTGGCTATTTGTTGAGCCTGTGGCTTGGCTAAGAATAACGTACTAATCACTTCGCATAGGCAATGCCGCCGGATCCTAACCACAGCCTCTGAAGGAGATACCGTTTCCCACACCTGAGGGAGAAGGCTCTGAGCGTGGAGTAACTTGTTCGGTGGTCACCTTGTTGACAGGAGGCTAGGTCAGGATTTGAATTTTCTGGAGCTGGGAGCAGCTTGTACCAAAGGCCTTGTCGGGGCTGGTGTCTCAGGAAAGATGGAGATCTCTCTCCCCGACCCCTGATCTTTTTTTCTTAAATTTATTTATTTATTTATTTTGGCTGCGTTGGGTCTTTGTTGCTGTGCGTGGGCTTTCTCTAGTTGCGGTGAGCGGGGGCTACTCTTCGTTGTGGTGCACGGGCTTCTCGTTGCAGTGGTTTCACTTGTTGCAGAGCACGGGCTCTAGGCGCACGGGCTTCAGTAGTTGTGGCACGTGAGCTCACTAGTTGTGGCTCACGGGCTCTAGAGCGCAGGCTCGGTAGTTGTGGCGCACGGGCTTAGCTGCTCAGCCGCATGTGGGATCTTCCCGGACCAGGGCTCAAACCCGTGTCCCCTGCATCGGCAGGCGGATTCTTAACCACTGCGCCACCAGGGAAGTCCTGACCCCTGATCTTTATAGGGCTTCAGAAATCTCCTTCTCCCAGGGCAACTAAGAGCCTGGTGCAGGACCATTTGACTTTCCCATTCAGGGAGGAATGTGGTATCTGACTAGCAGGGCTAAGAATAATGAGTCCTTGCTGAGTGCTTACTCTCTGGGCCATACACACTCATCCTCTTATAACCTCACCCCACCCCCGCCGAACACCCTGGAAAGCACTGGGCCTTGTCACTGTATCCTGAGGTGAGGACCCCAAAGCAGAGAGAGATTCTGCAAAGGTCACACAGCCAGTGGAGACTTAGCAGGATTTGAACCCAGGTTTTCAGACTTCCCTACTACACCCTTAACCACTGCCCCAACCTGCCTCTCTGGGAGACCGTACTGCGTGTCTGGAGCCGAAGCACCTGAAGGCCTCCCTTCCCCCATTGGGTGAGGTCGACAGAGTTTCCTGGCTCCTTTGAAACCAACCATGAAGGTTCCTCACCACCTCTTTCCTTTATTTCTGGCAGCTCCTCACTACCAAACTCTTCTCCCAGAAACTAGGCCAGCTGCAAAGGGAGGTGAAGATTTCACCCCTTGTCTGCCCAACCCCCAGCCTAGTCCTTCCCCACAGCCCTGTGCCTGGTTTATGCCTGCTCACCCTTTAGCTTACCCTTAAAATGCCACCTCTTCAAGGGAGCCGTCGGTGACTCCCTCACTAGGCCAGGGCCCCATCCATGCTCTTGGACCCCCCTGCCCACGTGCCCCTCCCTCCACTGTATCTGTGCATCCGTTTGCACCACAGGTGATAGCTGGTTAATCAAAAAAGCTGTTTAAAGTGAGGACTCACTCATACACACCTGAACAAAGAAAATATTTACATATGAATCCAATGTTTTAAGATACAGTAAATGTAAATGCAGTTGACCTAGGCCCAGAACTGTTCTTTGCAAACAGTCTCTTGATTGGCATTGCACTGTCCTTCTTTCATTCAACAGGCATCTGCTACAAATTCCAGCTCAGATTTCTTTAACCACAATGAGAATCTAAAGACATTTGCAAAGCAATCCCAATGCAGAATCCTTCTAGATTTTTATGATTGTCTTCCTTGTAAGCTTTTCTGGTCCACACCAATTTACCAGCATTTTCTTTAAGCAACTCACCTTTCCAAAACACTTACTATAGGTTTTTGGGAATTCCCTGGTGGTCCAGTGGTTAGAACTCCGCGCTTTCACTGCCGAGGGTGTAGGTTTGATCCCTGGTCAGGGCACTAAGATTCCTCAAGCCCTGAGGCATGGCCAAAAAAAAAAAAAAAAAAGAAGAAGAAGGAAAGGAAACGTAGGTTTTCATAGAAACGACTCTTGTCTCAGTCGTATTTCATGGGTTTACATAAGAAATAATTTGAGTGATTGCAATAACAAGGAAAGCAAACAGGTTAGAGAACACACATTTCCTTTTCTTGAGACGCACGCCGTTCAACTGGGGCAAAAAATTCTGAGTGCTTAGTGCGTGCGGTAGTCCGCTGGGTGGGAGGGTTCAGTCTTCCACGGGCAGCAGGGGACATGGGGACTATTGATCAGTCCAGCTAACCTGTTAAGTGATGACATTTAAGAAGTATCTGCATTAACTGTACACTTATTTGTGTGGCCATTGCTACTTATCGTCTAGTTCTGCTATTTCAGCTCTAGACCCTGGGAGACCAGGGCATCCCAAAGGCAAAGGTCCTTCATGATGGAGTTTCAGGCAGTGCCTCTAGCCATGTCCCCTCATCCGCTGCGTAGGTGACTACCTAGCTCCGATTTCCAGTCCTGGGATGGACTTTGACAGGTCCAGCTGGACCCTTTTGGGGTCGACATGTTTTTGATCATTTCTACTTTCTCAGTACATCATAAGCACTTATACATTTTTGTAGAATCAATGACCAATTAGCAAATAAGTGAAATAATGGAACTAAGGCAATTAGCACAGGGCCAGACCAAAGCCAGGGAACTCACTCAGGCTTTCTCTTCCCATATTTTTCAGATTTGCAAAATAATCCAGGACTCGGTGACCTCTGACCTACAGCCTTACCTCCAAACTCTGCCAGGTAGGACACCCCACCCATCCCTGGGATACTTGATTTTTACTAATTTTTATAAGTGCATACGTGTACCTTATAAAACCTTACATGGAAGAGAAGTGTTGAAAGTTAAAATTAAAATCCCCTTTTCTCCCCAAATTTTCTTCCAAGAGGTAACCTATTTCCTTTGAATGTTCAAATATAAATATACACATACATAAGCATATGACTATACATTCACATATGTATTCCTTTTGTTCATGAATATATGTGAATATGCATAATTATGAATATATATGTTAGTCTATAATAATAGAGACATTGTTCTTTTGTAACTTGTATACTTTGGAGATCTTTCTACATCAGCACATATAAATTGATCTCATTTTTTAAAACTTTTGTGTAGAAGTTAATACAGAGAGAAAAGTGCTCAAATCATAAGTGAAGAGTTTTTAGAAACTTTTCACGAACTGATCACATGCACGTACCAGCTTCCAGATCAATATACAGAACACGGCTGGCCTTTCAGAGTCCTCCCGTGTCTCCTTCTGACACTGCCCACCCCTCAGGTTGACCACTAACCCAGCTTCTGCTAGCAAAGATTAGCTTTGCACTTTGTACATCAATGGAACCATACAGTAGAGTCTTTTATCAAGAGCTGGAGGCTTTCTCTATTCAACTTTTTTTTTAAAGGATACACATTTTATTTATTTATTTATTTTAATTTATTTTATTTATTTATTTTTGGCTGCGTTGGATCTTTGTTGCTGCGCGCGGGCTTTCTCTAGTTGCAGTGAGCAGGGGCTACTCTTCGTTGCGGTGCGCGGGTTTCTCATTTCGGTGGCTCCTCTTGTTGTGGAGCACGGGCTCTAGGTGTGTGGGTTTCAGTAGTTGTGGCACGCGGGCTCAGCAGTTGTGCCTCACGGGCTTAGTTGCTCTGCGACATGTGGGATCTTCTCAGACCAGGGATCGAACCCATGTCCTCTGCACTGGCAGGCAGATTCTTAACCACTGTGCCACCAGAGAAGCCCTATTCGACTTTAAAATATGAGGTCAATCCATATTGTTGCATATCATGAGTTCATTCTCCTGCTGTGTAATCCACCGTGTCCATGTCTCTCCATTTATTTATCTATTGTACTATTGAAGCCCATTTGGGTAGTTTCAGTTTTAGACCATTGTGGGTAGGTGCTGTGAACATTCTAGCTCCTGTGGATGCATGTCTTTGGGTATATACCCAGGAGAGAAATTATAGGTTCAGCCTTAGCAGATCCTGCCAAACAGTTTTCCAAAGTGGTTTTAATAGACCTCTTTTTTTTTTTTTTTTTTTTTGGCCACGCCACATGGCTTGCAGGATCTTAGTTCCCTGACCAGGGATTGAACCTGTGCCCCCTGCAGTGTAAGCACAGAGTCCTAACTACTGGACCATCAGGGAGTTCATTTTAATAGCTGCACAGTGTTCTATCTTAACGGATGTCTCCATTTATTTAATAAGTCCCCAGCTGCTGGATAGGTAGGTTTGTTGCCGTCCTTTGCTATTGCCAACAGCGGGGCAGGGAGCGCCTCACACCGCCTCTTCCCCTTCAAATGTAGCAAGTGGAGGCCCCGGATCTCGGCTACACACATAAAGTTGGCAGAAACAGGCCCTGGCAAATTGTTGAGGTGTTCTCTCATGCCTTGGCCCCCAGGTCCTCCACACTCACCTGTTGACATTCCCCTTCAACAGAGACCCAGGCAGGCACAGACACCCAAGTGCTTGGGACAGAAAACTCCCGTCCCTCCAGGGCCTTGGAGTGGAGTCTCTGGGCCCTTTGGACATGACCCAGCCTTCCTGGTTATTTGGTTCGTACTGGTAGGAGGCTGGTGTCCTGGAAGATCAAGGTCTCGGTTGTAAACTTGGGGAGCAATAGCTTTGGCTGGAGAGTTTTTCCTATTGTGTGGCTTCCTAGGTGTGGAAGGGCTGCCAGACCTGAGTTCCTCCTGCCCTCAGGGTATGTGTGTGTGTGTCTATGTGTCTATGTGTGTGTGTGTGTGTGTGGCTGTGTGTCTGAGTATGTGAGACTCTGGAAACTGCTCAGGCTCTGGGCTAAGCATACCAGCCCCCTTGGGGCTAAATCACCAGTGGAACCGAAGAACCCATGTCAACTCTTTCTTGGCAAAGGAGTTCTTTGCCCCCAGCACTGGGCTGGGTGGAGGGTCTTAAGGTGGAGGGGCAGGGGGCTCTGAAGAAAGTCACAGAGAGTGTGGGTCAGCCAGAGCCCTCACCCCTTCTCCCTCGTCTGCCTCCTAATTCTGCCCTTCCCCTGTTCAGTCACCATGGAGATGGACATTTTCGCTGGGATTGATTACAGCTTAATGGAGGCCCCTCAGGCAACAGCGGAAATACTGGACGTGATGCTTAAGGTAAAAGGGTCTGGGGCGGGGGTCTTGGGCGGGCCCAGGCCCAGTGCGGGGTCGCCTCAGGGTCAGCCCTTCCTGGGGCCTCTTGTTCTCCTGGCTTCAGATCTGTCCTCATCTACCCGTGGTTCCCACTGTGTCAAGGGCAGGGCGATATGGATTGCTGCGGGGTGTTCCCAGAGCCAGGATCCTCCCACGGTGTCTTTTTTTGTTTTTTTAAGCTTTTTTTTTTTTTTGGCTGTGCCTGTAGCTGTGGCGCGCGGGCTTAGTTGCTCCGCGACGTGTGGGATGTTCCCGGACCAGGGCTCGAACCTGTGTCCCTTCCATTGGCAGGCGGATTCTTAACCACTGCGCCACAAAGGAAGCCCCGCCCACGCTGTCTTACATCACTTAGGCCTTGAAACTTCCCTTCCCCCTTCCTCCCCTCTTTCACCTTTCCCACCAAGCAGGTGAGGTCAATCAGAGCTGGCCCTCAGTGGTGTAGAGGAGCTGGCCAGGAGGTCCTATAGGTTAATAGACCAAAGCTTCTGCGGATCGTTTCATTAAGGGATTCTGGATACACATTTTGATCCAAAGGAAAACATCCTTTTTATTTTTTAATTTTTATTGGATTATAGTTGATTTACAATGTTGTGTTAGTTTCAGGTATACAGCAAAGTGTATCAGTTATACATATATCCTCTTTTTTTTTTATGTTGGGGGTAGGAGTTTTATTAATTAATTTATTTATTTTTGCTGTGTTGGGTCTTCGTTTCTGTGCGAGGGCTTTCTCTAGTTGTGGCAAGCGGGGGCCACTCTTCATCGCGGTGCGCGGGCCTCTCACTATCGCGGCCTCTTGTTGCAGAGCACAGGCTCCAGACGCGCAGGCTCAGTAGCTGTGGCTCACGGGCCCAGCTGCTCCGCGAGCATGTGCGATCCTCCCAGACCAGGGCTCGAACCCGTGTCCCCTGCATTAGCAGGCAGATTCTCAACCACTGCGCCACCAGGGAAGCCCCCCCCCCCCCCTTTTTTTTTTTAAGATTCTTTTCCCATATAGGTCATTACAGAGCATTGAGTAGAGTTCCCTGTGCTATACAGCAGGTTCTTATTAGTTATCTCTTTTATATATAGTAGTGTGTATATGTCAGTCCCAATCTCTCAATTTATACCTCCTTCCCTTATCCCCTGGTAACCATAAGTTTGTTTCCTACATCTGTGACTCTACTTCTGTTTTGTAAATAAGTTCATTTGTACCCTTTTTTTTTAGATTCCAAGGAAAACTTATTTAATGGTGGAGTTTCAGGCAGTGCCTCCAGTCCATGTTCCCTCGTCAGACTCTATAGGCAACTACCTAGCTCAGATGTCCAGCCCTGGGATAGACTTAGAAAAGTTCAAATGGATTCTATCTCTCTCTCCAGGGTGAAATTTTTAGCCGTGATCACCGCTCCCCGGTTGCCTTCCTTGCGCCTGTCATGAGCCTTCCAGAAGAACACAGCCGAATGGTCTACTTTGCCATCTCTAATTATGCCTTCAACACCGCCAGCCTAGTTTATCACAAAGTGGGATACCTGAACTTTTCTATCACAGATGACATGGTGAGAATAATAGCACAACAGCTCCCACAAATGACACTGTCTCCTTCCTTCTTTCCTTTCCACGCGTTTACATCAGTGAAATAGTAAATTATGACTAAAAGAAAGATCAAGAGCAGGAAAATATAAGTTAGTACGATTTCCCTTTTCACTTTGGCTGCCAGAGAGCTCAAAGTCAAAGTTCTTTCTCCCTTAAAACAATCGTGGAAGACTTTGTGGCTTGCTTGTCTGTCTTTTACTTTTCCCTCCAGACTCGATCTGTTATTCTAATTCATACTTTCTTTCATCCTGATGGTCTGTGGAGGTTTAAAAAAAGATTTTAGTGAATGGGGCAGGACAATAGATACACTGATAAATGCAAAAGTTACATAGAATAGAAAATAAAGACCAAGTTAAAAGTAAAGCACAATTTTAAAAGACACTGGGCCCCCAAATTGATTTTTTTTAATATCACGAATCTCTGCAGGAGCTTTCTGTAGCCAAAATGGAAAGGGTACATGATTTAGTGATTCATAGCAAAAAAGAGAGACAAAGTCTTCCGAGCACTTAGCTCTAAAATAACTGTCTCTTTGTATAAAGAGATGTGGCTTTGTATGAAGGTTACTGAATTTTAGAGTGGATCACATGGTTAATATTTCTTTCAGTTTCTTTAATATTTCTGGGGTTTAGATGGATGTTTATTGTAGCTCTTTGTAAAAGCTGAGGCCTCGTGAACAATGTAGGGAGGGTGGGGGAAACACAATGCAGTCCAAACTGGATGGTCCAGCCTACCCTGGTAATAAATTGAGGACCAGCAGTGATGGATGGAGTGACATGTGTCCTTTGACTCACCCACACCCAGGCCTTTTACTTCTATGGCCATGTTTGAGTCACCCTTCCCACCTGTGGTACAGTCCCTTCTTTCAGTGGGTGGGATCACGGTAGCTGTGTTTTACTGAGCGCTCACTATGTGCTAAGCCTTGGGCTAGATGCTTTGTACCCACCATTTCACTTAGCCCTCACAGTGACCCAACAAGTGGGGACTATAATTATCTCCATCTTATAGGTGAGGAAGTTGGGGCTCAGAGAGGTAAAGGCACTCACCTGACATCACATAGTCACGAAGCCAAGAGTCAAACCTAGATCTGTGTGATTGAAAATCTCACCCTTGTGGATCCTCTGATTGAGTCCTGAGTGTCACTTATGGCCCAAGGAGAGCAGTCAGGATCCCAAGGACTCGTGTGCTCATGGTGAATGCAGAACAGGCATCTCGCCATTGCCATGGTAACCCAGAGCAGTCAAGAAGCTACATTATTGGGCTTCCCTGGTGGCGCAGTGATTGAGAGTCCGCCTGCCGATGTAGGGGACACGGGTTCGTGCCCCAGTCCGGGAAGATCCCACGTGCCGCGGACTGGCTGGGCCCGTGAGCCACGGCCGCTGAGCCTGCGCGCCCAGAGCCTGTGCTCCACAACGGGAGAGGCCACAACAGTGAGAGGCCCATGTACCGCAAAAAAAAAAAAAAAAAAAAGAAGCTACATTATTGAATATCCCCCCACTTCCCCAATTCTCTTCAGACCTTTGGCTCCGGCCGGAGCACCTAAAACTTCTTTGTGTTCCTTTGCCGCAGGTTCCGCCTACTTCTAACATCCGACTGACCACCAAGTCCTTCCGCGCCTTCTGCCCCCGGGTAAGACTTCCCTCAGCCCTCAGGGTGCAGGCTGAGCCCCCAATACTTCAGGGGTTTTCTTTAAAACCTCCACACTCCTCTCAGCTTGACCAAGAGTCAGAAGGGCAGCAGTGGGGCCCCCAGTGAAGGCCGTGGTGCTACAGGTTTGGGGACTCCCTTCCCTTCAAGGCCCAGATAACAGGGGCCTGAGCCCTGTGTCTCGTGGGACCCCAGGCTGCCCAGTCTTTCATTGATGATCTCTGACAATACCAAGGAATGCCGACATGTCCCACAAAATGTATCCTAATTAATAACACCAAGCAATTACAGAGGGCGTACTAGGGGTCAGGCACTGTTCTTGGTGCTTTAAAAACTTATTTTTTGAATGGATAATAAATTCTCATTGTTCAAGATTCAGAAGACATAGAAGGTTATAGAGTGGAAAGTCCCATCCACTCCTGTCCCCTAAACATCCAGTTCACACCCTGAGTCTATCAATATTGTCAGATCGTACACATCTTTCTGGGGCTATTCTATGTATATGTGAACAAATGTATGTCTTTCCTCCATTTTTTTACACAAATGGAGGTATATTTTACACTCCATTTTGTACCTTACTTTTTCTCTTAGTATACCAGGAGATGATTCCATGTAGGTAGATAAAGAGCTTCCTCACTCTTGTTTTCTTGGGAATCCAGTCTGCCATTGTATTATGGATGGACCATAGTTTGGGTAATCAGTCCCCCATGGAAGGACATTTACGTTGTTTCCAGTCTTTTGCTACATCAGTGTTGCAGTGAATAACCCTGTAGCTTGGTCTTTGCTGGACTAAGCTCTTCATGTTCAATATCTCATTTAATCCCACAGAAATCCACCTGTCCTGTCGCCTCTCCCCTACCTTCTGAGTCCCCCCAAGACACAGCTCAGACAGGTGGTAGTGTTTAAAGTTCCTTGCAGAAGGCTTGATGATGGCTGAGAGGAATTATAACGGTGGGAGAATGGTTGAACTTTAAATACTGCGGTACCTGGGTCACGTCCTTCCATAACATACCCTCACAGCAGGCCCTTTCTCTCCCTAGAGCCCCACAAAAGCCCAACCTGCCACCATGTTGTCGGCGCTAGCTTTAGAGGGACCTTGGCTTCATCCTGGTTCCAACATCCCTTTTGCCCAAAAAGAGGAGGAAACTCTCCCCTCCCTTCCTGCTCACATCGTAATCAACCTGACACAGAAGCAGCTCGGGTCACCTTCTTAGTCAGGTGGTTTACCTCCTCAACCTTCTAAAGATCTCCCTTTTACAACTGAATGTAGATTTTATATTTGCATAACCAAAAGGCTCATGGGACTGTCGTTCCTCCACCAACTTCCCCCGTAAAAGGAACAGTCTTGACCCCAAATTAAATTCTAATTAAAAGGAAAATTGCCAGCTCTTTGAAATGGTGGGATCTAGGTGTGCTGTGCTTCAGAAACAGTGATGTCTGGGCTTTGCGTGCGCAGTTACCTGAGTGTGATGGGGGTATAGAGAAAAAAGAGCTCTCACCCACTGCCCAGGGAGGGGTGTGGAGTGAAAAAAAGTCAGCCTAATCTTTCTGGAGGACAGCTTGGCAATCAATAACTGGCAGAAGATTTTAAAATATCCCTGCCTGGGGCTTCCCTGGTGGCGCAGTGGTTGAGAGTCCGCCTGCCGATGCAGGGGACGCGGGTTCGTGCCCCGGTCCGGGAAGATCCCACACCCCACGGAGCGGCTGGACCCGTGAGCCATGGCCGCTGAGCCTGCGCGTCCGGAGCCTGTGCTCCGCAATGGGAGAGGCCACAACAGTGAGAGGCCCGCGTACCACCAAAAAAAAAAAAAAAAAAAAAAAAATCCCTGCCCTTGGACTCAGCAATTCCACGTCTAGGAATGTATCCCCCAAAATAATAGCCAACGGTACACAGGAGAGTGGTCTTTAAAATGGCAAAACCTTGGAGACAACTTGATGTGCAGTAATGTTAGATCAATTGCAGCACCCATGCACAGTGGAATACAATGCATCCATGAGATAAATGACACAGACTCCATATGTCTAACGTGGAAGGATGTCCAGTTATACCTTCAAGAGAAAAAGGCACAGAGCATCTTGTGGAAATTAAACCAACCAAGAAGTGTCCTCAGCTTGATCTGACTCCCTCGAGGGTCTCCCAGGAAACCTGCACGCTTCCTTCTCCTGACATAATTTCTTCATTCTGCCCTCAGTTAGCCAGACTGTACCCCAACACGAACTTAACGCTCCAAGGCACAGTGGTCTCTGCCCCGTTCCTGAACTTCAGCCCTGGGAATCTGTCCTCAGCTGCCCAGATGGAGATTGAGGCCTCTGTGCTCCTGCCCAACTCCGTCAAGGAGCCAGTCTTCCGGCTTGGTGTGGTAAGGTTCAAAGGCTTGGCAAACATTGTTCCCTTTTCCTACATGCTTTTTCCCCCACTCCCCACCTGGCTAATTCCTTAAGATAGATCTCAACTTAAGTATCACTTCCTCAGATAGGCCTTTCTTGGTTGCCCTTACCCCTGATCTACCTTAGGCCCCTTGTCATTTTTTTTTCTTGTGGCACCCTATTATTTTTCCTCATAGGACTTATTGTAAAGATACCAATGTAGCTGTTTGCAGGTTTATTTGCTTAATGTATGTTTGCCCAACTAAGTGAGTCTGGGCTATTGTGGGGAGGAAGGCAGAGGGGATCTTTGACCTGTTGCTCTGCTCTGTATCTATATCTGACCCCTGAAGACTACATTTCCCAGGCTTCCTTGCACTGACTTCCAGCTAGGTCAGCCAATGGAAGACACTGTCAGGAGAACAGAGGGTGGGAGGAAGGAAGAAGCCAGAGTATTTCTTCTTCTCTCTTTATCTTGGACAGAGACTCAGGCACTGACTGTGTCTCCTCCATGGTGCCTCCCCAATTCCTCCCTCTGTTCCTCCAATCCTGGGGTGGAAGCAGCTTCCCACCCCTGCTAATCTCTGAGTTGCCTCTCCAACTCTTTTTTAACTTCTCAGCAATTCCATCATTTGTATAACCAATCCCCTGTATGAAATTCCCTCTTGGTTAAATATTGAGAGTTGTGTCTCCCTTCTCAATGGACCCTGTCAAACAGAGAAGGGATTCTGAGTTTTTTGGGGGTCCTGCTCACAGGATGGAGAACTTTGCTCTCTTGTTCCAGGTTTGAAACTCAGCAAGACAAATTTCTAGAAGAGTAATTGCTCCCAGATGTTATATCTGCAACTTGATATTGTTGTTATTGTTATCAAAATTGTTGTCAATATATTTTATTTTATTATTTTTTATTTTTATTTTTATTATTTTGGTAAAGCAGGAAAGGATAGCTTTATTGCTTTGCCAGGCAAAGGGGAACACACCAGACTTCTGCCCTGAAAAACTACATGTCCCCAATATATTTTAAATTAAAACATAAGCTATTATCATTACTATTATTATTTACTCGGGCTGAATCTTGGCCCTGAGATAGCTAGAAATGGTCCCTTTAGAGATCTCCAGGCATAGGCCTCTATACCTTCTCTTGGTAGTATGTTCAAAGTTTAATTGCTATCATAGTCAGCAATTTCAAGTAAAAATATTCAAGTCCAAGTTCAAATGTTTATTGAGCACCCATGATGAGCTTCCTGGGAGTCTAATCTAGTGGGAAAGTTCCTGCTTTAACTCAGTGAGATGTTTGCTTAGAGGAGACAGCAGGTCCTCATAGTTATCCGTTCTGTACATGACAACCTCCTTCATTTAGACCTGTTTCTTTCTACTGGAATTACCAGGCCACTAATGTGTCTGTCATGTTGACCTTCAACACCAGCAAGATCACTGGATTCCTGAAGCCAGAAAAGTAAGTCAGCCTCGTGACTTACATGGGGGGGCGCTCAACTGGGCTCCATCTGACGCTTCAGCTGATTCCCTGTAGCTGGAGGTGGGATGTAACCAGATCCCCCTGTCAAACCGTGGGGCCCACGGTTTGGGAAGGAAAGTTAAATTTTACCCCAGTTGGCCCAATTCCTTTGGCCAACTGGATCTGCCTCCATAAACTTCCTTTTCACCTAACCCCCATTACTTCCAAATTTCTAAAGAATTTACTAATACTGCTTTTTCTTAATCTATGAATTTTAGACATCGGCAATATTGACTTCCTGAAATTATAGAGACTGAGTTCTTTTATGCTACACACTTCCCCTCTGCAAGTCTTCCCAATAAGGTTGTATCATTGTTTTTGGTTCCTCAATCACCTTTTTCACTCTCACTGCTACCACACCCTGGGCCCTGGGCCTTCTCAAGCTGGTGTCTCCTCCTTTCTGGGGATCCCTACATTGCTTAGGTTTGCCTTGAACATAATGCCCACATCTCTGAATCTTCTCTGATTTGTTATAGGATACAAGTGGAACTGAAAGAATCTAAAGTTGGAGTAGTCAATGTAAGTTATTATTGTTTTTATTTATGAAATGATTAGGGTAATAATTAATTTAGAGTATTTACTAAATAATGCTTTGGCACCTATAATAGAAAATAGAAAAGGAGAAGAGTTACTCTCTGCCCTAGAAAAGCATAGAAGTTCTTGAAGACAGGAACCATAGGGCAGAGGAACAGTTACCTCCCAATATAAGACAGTATAATTAAATCATCTATTGGACAGAATTCTTTTAACTGCAAAGAATAGAAAGCCAACTAAAAGTGTCTTAAGCAAGCAGAAGGAATGTATAGGTCATAACCAAAAAACAAAAACAAAAAAGCTAAGGCTAGAGGTTTTAGGCATAGCTGGATCCAGGTGTTCAAATTAGTACATCAAGAATCTCCAAGGGAAGGGGAGAGGGGCGATATAGGGATAGGGAGAAAATGGTTATTAAGGGATTATATAAAATCATGTGTGTGAAACTTTTGAAAATTGTAGAGCACTACAGAATTTAAAGAATCTTTCATTCAATTTTTTAGAAAGAAAAAATATATATATTCCAAAAAAAAAAAAGAATATCTCTCCATTCTGCTTTCATCTGTGTTGGCTTCATTCTCAGGCAGGTTCTTCCCACTGGTGGAAAACTCACAAATTTCCTGTAGTTTCTTTTTTTTTTAACCCACAAAAAAAAAAAAAAAAAAAAAACAAGCCCTCGTTGGATTAATCTTGGTCATGTGCCCATTCTTTAGCCAATCACGTGGTCGGAAATTGGACAAGGTCAGTTGGCTGAGCTTGGTTTAATCTACACTCCCCAAGCCAGGATTTGCAGTCCCAAACCACATGGACTGAGACTGGAAAGGAGGGTTCCCCAGGAGAAAATAGGGACTATTATTTAAAAAAAGGAATTGAGTGCTGGGCAGGCAAAACCAAAAGATGATTTCCACAAAGAGGAAAAAGTGATGAAATGGGTGGTGCCATATTAAAGGAGGAAAAAGAATGGGAAGTTTTATGTGGGCTGAAACAATCGAGGAGAGATTTCTGAAAAGAGGGAAGGTGGGGTGATGGCAGCTGCTCACAAGCCAAGGAGGAGATGGAAAGACTTTAATCTACAGTAGTTGGCTTCCTTTTTACCATCCTATGGATACTGGTTCCCTCTGACCACACTTTACCTGCCCCCCACTTCCAAGACTTTCCCTCAAGTAGAAGTGGAAAAAATACATCAAGTGTGGAGAGAAACATTGCCCACAGGGACCCTGAAGGATGACTCCTTTCAGAGAACAAAGGCTAAAGTGAATAATGACACACTAATATTGTATCTGTGCATGGCATGTAAAAATGTTCTATGAAGTAAATTATTCATATGTAAAGAGTCACAAAAAGACATCCTGTCATGTTTTCAGAACATCGACTGTAAAAAGTAAGACCTGTAGGGCTTCCCTGGTGGCGCAGTGGTTGAGAGTACGCCTGCCGATCCAGGGGACACGGGTTCGTGCCCCGGTCCGGGAGGATCCCACACGCCGCGGAGCGGATGGGCCCGTGAGCCATGGCCGCTGAGCCTGCGCATCCGGAGCCTGTGTTCCGCAACGGGAGAGGCCACAACAGTGAGAGGCCCGCGTACCACAAAAAATAAAATAAAATAAGACCTGTAGAATCAGGTAAATCTGGATTCAAATTCAGACCCTGCTGCCCGAGTTCTAGCAAGTCACTTTCATTCTGTGGGCCTCAGTTTTCTTATCTGTGAAATGGGGACATTAATATTAACTTCGAAGTGTTCTAGTGTAAATTGAATCAGGTGTAGATGTAATGCTCTGAGCCCTATACCTGGCACATAGTGAGTGTTAAAAGTTGGGTTTCATAATTTTTGTTTTGACTTAAAAATCTTTTTTATTATATAAGTAACTTGGGAAAACATTTCCACTGTAAAAAGAAAAATTAACTACTAAAGATAAGGCTAAGCCAAACCTTGATGTTCTTCCTGGAGGATAGATAGTTGGGCGGGTAGTCTTCCAAATTTTTCTATCCCTTTGTACGCATATAAATGTGCATCTCAAAATAGTTTTATCTTATAAATTAGTAGCATGATGTAGGTATCTACCTGAAACTTGCTTTTTTTCAAGCCTTTTGCCATGTCAACACATACAAAACCACCCCACCCACGGGGTGGCCTCTCTGGAGGTTTGTTGGTGGGCAAGATGATACATGTGGTTATGGTGTACCTCTCCTATTCTCCACCAGGTGGAGCTGTTGGAGGCGCTGCTCAATTACTACCTTCTCAACACCCTCTACCCCAAGGTCAATGGTAAGTATCACTATGGATTTTTCCAAGTCAAGAGTGGACACTGCTCTTTCGGGGAAAGAAAGCTGGGACCAGGGCTCTCCTGCAGGCTGTGTGACCTTGGGCGAGTCACTTCTCTTCTCTGAGCTTCAGTGGCCTGTCTGTGAGACGGGAGTGTTGAAGTCAGCCTCACCTCATTCCAGGCCTCTAAGGAGGGTTGAGGATAGGGGCAGTTTTTTGAACACAGTAAACCTCCTCCTAAGAGAGAAAGAGGGGCTCACAGAAGTGCCCACACACACACTGAAGTGACAGGTGAGACTGAGAACCAAGTTAATATACAGGGTACAAGGCAGCCCACCTCTAAAATCACATTCCCCAGTTAGTTGCCATCTCCCTGGTCAAAAAATAAAACTTAAAGACCTAAACCCTCTTTGCATGAGACCCTGCTTCATTTGGCTACAGTAGAAAGCAGGATGCAGGTGGGGGGCAGAGAACAAATGCCCACTGGATTCTTATCATGAGTAGACGCTGCCCCATCCCTGCCACTGTCTCCACAGAGCACCATGGCTGAGGGCTCAGGCTCCTCTGTCAGTCTGCCTGGCATCAAATCCCAGTTCTTCCACTTTCTAGCTATGGAACCTAGGACAGGTTACTTGGCCACTCTATGCCTCAATTTCCTTATCTGTAACATGGGAATAATAATCCCAATCTTTGGTGATAATTAAATGGGAATATACCATGTATAGGGTTTGCAGAGAGGAACTTTTTGATGTAAAATTGTCTCTGTAATTATTTATTAACAAATGTCTCTCGATGTTCTGCCGCAACCTCCAGATAAGTTGGCAGAAGGCTTCCCCCTCCCTCTGCTAAAGCGTATTCAGCTCTATGACCCTGTTCTCCAGATCCACAAGGTCAGTGGGTTCAGCAGGGTTCTGAGGAATTGGGGAGGGGGGTTGGTTAGCTTTCCCGGTTTGCAGGCTATAACTCAGTGGGTGGGACCCAGCCCAGCCCTGCAGCTGGGAAAGCCTCCCCGGGGGTGGGATGGTTCAGGGTCAGCTGGATGCCATGAGGCCGTCCACGGGTCCTTTAGAAGTGCCACCTCTATGGGGGCAGGAGGGATTTGACACAACCTGTGTCACAACTTTCCACCCCCTGCCGCCCCGCCCCCCGGCCGTGGGTGACCTGGGAGAACCTCAAGACCAGCTCGTTTTAAAAATACAGCAATCCTAGCCATGCCAACAGCTCAGGTTCTGAAAGCCATCTGTAAGTTTTTAAAATTTCTTCTAATTTCTTGGGAATTCCCTGGTGGGCCAGTGGTTAGGACTCGGCACTTTCATTGCTGAGGGCCCGGGTTCAATCCCTGGTCTGGGAACTGAGATCCCACTAGCCGTGTGGTGAGGCCAAAATTAATTAATTAATTAATTAAAATAAAATTCCTTCTAATTTCTTAAGTAGAAGAGCTTTGATGTATTAATAGATACATGTTTGGTGTGCCGTCCCTCAGAGACCCATTGCCCCACCACACTCATAGCTTGACTTCTGGTGTACTTCCTTCCAGCCTTTTGTCTCCTCCAAGCATTTTTTGAAATTGTTTTCTTGTTGTGGATAGTTGCCTTGCTAGCGCTCAGACCTGTTTTCTTTTGGTTGCAGTCTAGTCTTCCTTCCCCCCACCAATGTTAAATTCTGTCCCAAGCATGCAAGGGACCATAATTTACTTAACTATTTGAATACCAAGGAATATGTCTGATTCTTCACCAGACTCTCCACTCTTCTGACCAAGCATTTTATGCGCCATCTGTGCCCCACGGTTCAGGTTATCTTTCTAGAAGAGCATCCGTAAGGTGGGATGACTGGGTTGGCAGGCTTGTGAGCATTAAAGGAGATGGCTGCTTTGTGCCTGGTACATAGTCAACATCCAGCAAACAACAGCTACTAAAGAGAGGGGCAGGCAGCAGAGTGATCAGGAACACTGAAACAGAGATCAACCGAGACATTTGAAAACAAATATTCCAAGCCCTTTTGCATCCAGAGATACTCAACATCCAACTATTGTTGAGAGTTTATAAGGAGTGAGACAGATCATTGTTCAAAGCAAGGACTGAGTGACAATTCATGCAGCTGGCCTCAGTTTTCCCCTGTGTAAAGTGGGGTGTAGCCCAAACCTCACTGGGCAGTTATGAAGATTAGAGCTTCTAGCTCAGTTTGGCACCATGGAAGTCATTAGAAATTTGTTAGATTGACCCTTGAACAACACGGGTTTGAATGGCCCCATGTCCGTGTATACGCAGATTTTTTTCAATAATAAATACAATACTATGGTACTACACCATCTCTGCAGTTGGTTGAATCCGTGTATGAGGAACTGCGGCCGCGAGGAACCGTGGATATGGAGGGCTGACTCTAAATTATACGTGGATTTTTCCACCCATCGGTGCCCCTAACCCCGCAGTTGTTCAGCGGTCAACTGTATATACTATCATATCCAATAAAAATTTGAGGTCAGCTCTGCCCATGTGTTTGACCCCCAAAGGCAGGGGATGGTTGCTGTGGGAAAGAATTGGATTTTGCTCTGAGTTCAGAATTCCCACCCCTTTGGTGATGGAAACTTACGAAGAAGTAGGAGAATAAACCCCAGCAGCTCACAGTATTGTCTTATTCACCAAGGAGAGAGAATTTAGGTGACACAGGGGACATTTATGAGGTCTGCCAGGAAGCAGCAGCTTGGGAGATGACAGATAAATTGCCACGTTAGAGAAGGTAGCTGGCAAAAGCTGTGCTTTATGGAGACCTTGGGACAGAGGCACACGCTCGATTTATGCACTGACCTGGTTTCTGGCAGAGCTTGTGCTTCCCCAGACATGGGCCTCCCTTTAAATCAGAGATGCATCTTTTTGGAGTAGAGGATGCTTTTACCATCCTGTCCTGTCTTGTCTCTCCTAGGACTTCCTGTTTTTGGGCACCAACGTCCGGTACCTGAGAGTTTGAGGACAGGGCGAAAGACAGGGCTTGGGGGCCACAGCTGGATTGCCAAGTTGCATTTCCAGATGTGCAGCATATTCCTGGAGATTCTGGGAGGATGAAGACCATTTCTGTTATCAGCTCTGGGGGACTGGCCTCTGTCCCCACACTCCTCCTTTTCAGCACGTACACCCACACCCCCTCTAACTCTGGATTTTACTTTCCCACCAGGATGGACCGTCCTCCCCCACTAGCCTGTACTATCTTCAAGGGCAGGTCTTTTTTATTCACCATCAGATCCCTGTGCCTAGCAGAGTGCTTGCACTTAGTAGGTCCTCAATAAATATTTATTGAATGGCTCAGTGAAGGAACCATCTGGTACTCTAGCTGAACCCCCCTACTGCCAACCCTCTCTTATTTAAGGGGTCTTTGGATGGTCAGCTCCATCTGTGGTCTTCAAGGATGAACCCTGACCACATTCCCATTTCTCAGCGCTGCTGCTGTGGGGACCTCAATGAGAGAACATGGGATTCACTCCCTGCTCAGCCCTGGACCTGGTGCTGATGCTGGCTCTCTAAGACAATTGTCCATCTCAGTTTGGGGGCAGTTCATGGGCTCATTTCAGTACGTGCTCCCTCTCTCCCTCCCTCTCTGCCTGCTGCAGACACAGGAGCCAGAGGGTCTCCAGGAGCAAAAACTCAGCCTCCTGCTGCCCTCCGCATTGAAACGGGTGTAAATTAGGAGGAAATGGATCTGTCTAGGTTTTGGGTCCGACCCGAATAAAAGACTCATCCAACTGTTGTTTATGAGCCCCAAGCCTGGAGGAAGAGGCCGTGATTTCTAATTACTGAACAACCAGCCTTTGATCAGACTTTACCAAACAGTCATTTCCAAGTTGGGCCCCCGGGGACTGGGCATCAGAAAGCTCGTTGGATGCTTTCTTAATTGTGTAAATGAGCAGGTGGATGGAGCTGCCGGCTAGCAGATAATTCACAGGGAATAGACCCATTTACCCTGTGTGTGACAGAGATGCATTCCAATATGGGACGATGCACTGTCACCCAACTGGAGGCGGGGTGAGCCATGGCTTCGCCTCGTCCCTTTTGTTCACTTGTCTGCCACCATCATCCATCCTGTGATGGACTGTGAAGGGCTCGGCTTCATCCAGCACTGGCCACGTGGCCTTGGACTGGTCCCTTTCCCCGTTTCCCCCACTTTATCCTATGAAATAAGGATGATAATAATAGTAGCCATGTCCTAGGACTCTTATAATGGTGATATTAGGTAATCCATGTAAAAGGATTTATTTAACCCTAGTGGGGATTCAATATTTATTGACTGGACGTGCTTATTGAACATCCTCCTGTTTGCAGGCACTGAGTTGGTCAGCACACAGGAACTAGAGGCAGCACAGACCCAGTTCCTATGTCTGTTTTTCAGGACATTGCCTCACCGTGGAAAGAGCCAGTCTTGACTCCAACTTACATGCTTTGGGCCTCGGGGAAAGGCCTCTCTAAAGCCTGTGTCCTCCCCTGTCAAATTTGCTGGGAATACCTCCTTGCAGGGTGACTAGGGACTCAGTGGGTTCACGTCCAGCTTCTGGGGGTGAGGGGAGGATAGGGCATAACCAGGTCCTGGTAAACAGCTGATGCGATTATCACCTGCCTTCCTTTGGGCTCCCCAGAAGCAGACTCTGAAACAAGGAGGCGGGTACAAGTAGTTTACTGGGAAGAGGATCCCAGGGAAATAACCAGTAGAGCAGAGAAAATGTGATGGGGGGCGGGGACGGGCTTCCCTGGTGGCGCAGTGGTTGAGAGTCCGCCTGCCAATGCAGGGGACACGGGTTCGAGCCCTGGTCTGGGAAGATCCCACATGCCACAGAGCAACTGGGCTTGTGAGCCACAATTACTGAGCCTGTGCGTGCGATGAAGAGTGACCCCCGGTTGCCACAACTAGAGAAAGCCCTTGCACAGAAACGAAGACCCAACACAGCCATAAATAAATTAATTAATTTTTAAAAATTTGTAAAAAAAGAAATTTGATGGGGAAGGGAAGGCAGCCTTTAAAGTGTTCATGATCAAACCAATTACCACCTTAATCCCACTCAGGAAACTCTGGGAGCCAGTGTAGAACACTCAGAGTATCCACCCAAGGGCTGAGATTGCCGGGATGCTTGTACATCGTCTCCCATCAACCACTGTTTGAGGGGAGCTCCTGGGGACATCAGTTCTCTGGTTCTTCTAGTCTGGGCAGGGCGGGCTCTAGCAGCTGTAGAAACCTCTCAGGCAAAGAAACGCAAGTGGCAGCAAGTAGAACTCAGGTTGGCGTGTGACTGGTAAGATGGGTGGGGCCCACGCGTGGCTGTACAATAGGGTAGGAGTTCACCAGCTCAAAATCCTGGATGTGATGTGAGACTGTTGGCCACATTGCCTGGAAAAGCTGTGGGTTGGTCTCCTCTGCATATTTGTAAGAAACTCAGCCTAGTTTTCAAGCAAGCCTTCATTTCAGAGCATTCTAGAATGCTCCAGGACATTCCAGGGGATGGCCCCAAGAAAGGACTCCGGGAAGCCCAGGCACGTACTTGATGAGTACGGGGCAGCCAGGTTTGCTATGAAACAGGGGAAAAAAACAATTCTTTGTGAAAGAACAAAATATTTCTCATTCACAAAGCAAGGAAAGGCCATTCCTACCCAATGAGACTAAACACATTCATTCAGTAACAGAGCCTCAAGTTAGTGTCATCATGTCTTGCTGGGGTAGCTCCAGGACAACCACTGCTGGCCCTGGGGTCCCCTAGCAGGTTCTGACACCCTGAAATCCGACTATAGACATGCAAGTATCCTCAACAGCTCAGACCGTATAGGAGGACTGGCCTTGGGACAGCACATTCTGATATTAATGATCAGAACTCTGGTATATCAAAGAACCATCGAGAGACTATAGAAGAACCATTGATAGTTATGGTGCCATAGAGCTCACGCCCACACAAACTAAGACGCCACCCTGGAGATGCTGCACCTCCTGGTTACAAACTGACTCCTGCTCTGTGCTTCACTAACTTCCCAAGAGCCCTCCTACAGCTACACACTGTTCCACACTTGTGGACATACAAGACAACTTCTGCTTTCTTAGAGATTAATCGGATTTCCTGGTGGGGATGGACCACAATTTTTTTAACCAACCGCCTACTAATGGGTCCTTAGGTTGTTTCTGATATTTGGCTTTTATGAATGAGAAGTCCAGCTCCTTATTTTAACTGAAGTCCAGCATTTTAACCAAAATCTTACGAGTGATTTCTGGGGCCTGACCATAGGCAATTACAAAGGCTTTACCGGACAGGCCTCGTGGAGGAAAGCTACCCTCCTCCTCCCAGTCTCGGTGCCCAGACAATGCACTGTGGTCTCTGAGGGGAGTTGCAGTCAAGGACTCAGACACCCTGGACAGTTATGCTCTTTGCATATTTGCATTCCTAGCCCAGAAGCCTTTGTTCCTAAGTTTTGGGGTTTTTAAAATAAATTTATTTTATTTACTTTTATTTTTGGCTGCATCCGGTCTTCGTTGCTGCACGCGGGCTTTCTCTAGTTGCAGTGAGCGGGGGCTACTCTTTGTTGTGGTGCACGGGCTTCTCATTGCAGTGGCTTCTATTGTTGTGGAGCACGGGCTCTAGGTGCACGGGCTTCAGTAGTTGCAGCACGCGGGCTCAGTAGTTGTGGTGCACGGGCTCTAGAGCACAGGCTCAGTAGTTGTGGTGGACGGGCTCAGTTGCTCCGCGGCATGTGGGATCTTCCCAGACCAGGGCTCAAACCCGTGTCCCCTGCATTGGCAGGCAGATTCTTCACCACTGCGCCACCAGGGAAGCCCTCGTTCCTAAGTCTCTTTACCTGAAACCTTAGGCAGAGGTTTCCAGAGGCCTTTGCCAAGGACTCTGTCAGGGAAAGAAGGGGGAACCTTGAAGATATTTTCCCCATAATGACTCACACTCAGTACTTTTCCACTCCCAGCCCTTCCCCCCTTCCCTCCCCCTGCCTCCCTGGCTCAGGGTCCAGGAACCTGACAGTGGTTTCTTTTTGGGGATCCTCATCAGTGAGACGACCCCAGCACTTGCACCGAAACCCCTGATCCACCTGCACCTTGTCCCATGGAGGAAATGGAACAGGGGTGTCGGTGCTTTCTCTGGTTTGAGCCGCTCGCTTAATGCTATTGGAGTGAGTGACTGAAGGTTTCACTGTGGTTTTCATTTTGGCTTGTCGTTGCTTTAATCAACTCCTCCGACACTTGGCAGCCCAGCTTTCTCCAGTTCAGCTGAACTCTTGACAATAAATAGTGCCTCCATGAAAAACTTTACCCATACGTCATTTCTTATTCATGCATCCATAGAAACATAGGAGCACGTACATCTGTGAAATAAATGTCCAGAAATGGAATCCAACCATTTAAAGAGACCCTTCCATCAATTTAGCAATCGTGTGTTTGCTCTCAGTCTCTCCTCTTTCACCCTCCCCCCTCCTCCTGAGTATGCAGGGGCGGGGACTCACATGGGCTCATGGCAGTGGCAGTGGCGTGGGGGAGGGTTATGTAGTAAAGAATTCACCTTGGCTCAGAGAGGGGGCTGGTCTTTGCCCTCAGCCCCTGAGAAGTCATCTCTAGGCCCTTGGGAAGTTCTGCCTGATCAGAGTGTCTTGTCTAGCTGGGGGCACTGGACATTCCCGACAGTTAATGGTGTGATCTATGGTGGGGACTTTGGGTGACATGGTACCATCTGGACCTCCAAAGGGGCTGCAGATGGGGTCAGCCACGTGGGTGGTCAACCATGTCTACAGATGGAGCCCCAGTAAAGACTGGACACCAAGGCTTGGGTGAGCTTCCCCAGTTGGCAACACTGTGCATATTGTCACAGTGTGATGCTAAGAAAGTAAGGCCATCCACGGATCCACAGGGAAAGGCCAACTGGAAGCTCGGTGTTTGCAGCTTCCCTGGATTCTGTTCTCTGCCCCTCTTCCACTGGCTGACTTTAATTGGTATCCTTTCCCTTTAACAAACTGTAACCAGGAGTGTAACAGATTTCCATGAGTTCTAGAGTCCTTTTAGCCAATTATAGAACTTATGGGTGGTCTTGGGGACCCTCAAACTTGCAATTGATATCAGAAGTGAGGGTGGTCTTGTGACTGTGCTACCTCTAACTTCACAAGGGGTCTTGTATTCTCCGGCTCCGAAACACTGCTGGCCTCAGACACTGAGCTCAAGGCCAGTGACACTGATATCTGTTCTCTGTGGTCTGACCAGGCCTGGAGGGCCCTCATCTCCTGTCCCCCTGACTCATCCCCAGCTCTGTTATTTTTGGTGCTACAAGTCCTGTACTGGTCAGGATCCCTAACTTCAAACTTCAGAATCCACTCTGGTTAATATAAGCAAGAAGGAGGTTTCAGTCTCCAAGGATTTGAAGACCATCAGTGGTTGCCATGAGCCCCACTCATGAGTATATGCCTTTGGTCCAGACCTCTCTTCTGAGATCCCCACCTGTCCCATAACTATAGGCTTGACATTCACCTCCAGCTGACTGGATTAGGGGGCTGCACCTGGCTCATGTGACAAAGGAACCTGTCAAGGTATCCTGAGGATTTCCCTTGGAGTCTGGTACATAACTTCCCTCACAGCACATCTACGTGGGCCTGCTTTTCCCAGCCCACAGAGGATTAAAACACAGCAGAATAGATGTCTGCTTTATGGCCACTAAAGAACCCAGAGCTGGATTCTCTCCATCCCTTAGAGAAGGCTTTCCTCCCACCTCAAGTGATCTCATGGGACCCTTAGTGCAG